AAATGGAAGAACTTCCTCCATCTGCACACATAACACACATAAGTACATTACAGCTAACCACAATGAAGATACTGCTTTGTTTCTCATGCTTGTATCTTAGAATTTACATAAACAAGTTAACACATTCTCACCTATCAAGAACTTAATGCTGAATAATCCTATAGAAGCAGCAATTTCTGCTTACTTGAATGCAAATCACAAAGACACCACACTGAGAAATAGAATCCTAAAGCAAGTGCAGTTGTAGATCATAAAAATCAGAAATTAAGAACTGTACTTGAGAAAATAAACATTCCTCTCCAGAAGTAATACTAATAACTTTACCAGAGGATAAATATAATTTATGCAGTGACAGCAATAAAAAATGACAACGTTCAGACAGGATACTCCACTAGGATATGTATCTCCTCTACATTTCACCATCCAATCTCTTTCACATAAGACTAGATGTACATTTTAAAAAACATTTTATAAAATTTATATCTACAAATGCCATTACCGAGAGAACTGAATGCTTAAAATGAAAATACTTACATTTGCATAACTGCCTTCAATAGCATTTAAATCACAAATAGAAAGTCCTAGAGCAATTTTCCAGTTATGCTCAGTCAGCACTTTCACATCTCTAAGGACACTCAGCTAGAAGTTGAGTTACCACTCTCCTTTGGGAAGTACGCTTACCTTTCTACACATCAATTAAGCTTCTAAATCTAAAAACAAGGGGGAACAAAAAAAGAAAAACATGACATAAACTGGTATTTACTATCAGATGTGATGTGTAAGCAGCAAGAAGACTTTCACTTTCTCATCTGTTGATAGGTTAGAATTCACAGAGAGAAGGCAAATATACAATTTGGAAACAGTGTAAAGAAAGCAAGTTAGAACTGGTGACTCCCAGAGGAAACAAACCACAGACACCTAGAGGAGCAGTCAATATTCATTATACAAATATTTATACACATTAAACTTGTTCATTAGAAACTGAAATGAGGAATAATAACGTTTTCCATTTTGCTCTGCCAAAATAAAAAATAAGTAATACTTTTCATTTACAAATATAACAACTGCCATGCCCTATTCCCTCTCCCTAAGCCAATCCAAGCCAACCCTGTACAATTTTTTAGATTCATGGTTAACAACAGAAATTATGGATTTGGTCCCATAAAGTGAAAACCACACATATATCCAACCACGAAGCAGTTCGTCAGCACTTAACCCTCTCTTTACAAGTGGACATTGTTATTTATAAACTAAAATACAAACCAACATACATCACTAGATTTTTACGTTTTAAAAAGACCATTAAAAATTCAATCTGTTGCCTTCAAGCAATCCTTGATCCCTTACTAAGCTTCCTCGTGGCAGAGCATAACAGAATCTCCAGTTTATACTCTCACACAACCGTGCTCTCCTTCCATGAATTCTGACAGGAACTGCCACCCCCTTCCTCCACAGAACTAATCGATAACCAAACATTTTAATCTTTCTTTGTCCCAGTGTTACACTACTGAGGCAGATTAGATTTTTCTAATTTATTTCACACTTAACATTTAAATTAGAGCATAGCTGGCTGAAATATTACAACTTAAATGAATGTGTAACTTAAAGATCAAATTCTATCCTCAACAGATTTACATAAAAGGACAGAAAGGATAACATTTGTCTACCAGCATGTTACGTGGATCTCCTTAACTCAATTTACTACGGATTTCATGGTGCAAGAATTAATGCCCCTCCAGGAACTGAAGTCATTACCAATTATTTCTCCCACACCTACAACATAATCCTATTTCCCTGTAACTAGTGGAAGTTCCGCTGCTCGCCTGAAGGCAAGTTGTGTTTGTTCCTTGATTTGTTACTCTAGCAAGTGGTACTCTAGCTAAACGATGTCACAGATGAGAGCTTCTTTCTAATAAGAAAATAACATTAAGAACCAGTGTGATGTAATTTATTGCCTGCTAAAATTGTGATTCCCATACATATTGATAATTTTAACTATGCAAAAAGTTGCCAACAGAATTATGTTTGTCAATGTGAACTTCTAGTATAAATTTTATCGACAACAAGCATAGATTCTTTTCTTGTGTCCTGCCTTTTTTCTTTAGACAATTCCCTAAAAACCAGAATCAATGTCCTACAGGTGAAAGCTCCTTTTTTTATATCTTCTCAATACTCCTTTTCGTTACAGGACTGCCCAACAGGCTGATGCATACCAACACTGTCAGATGCACTCTGGATTCCCATATATATAGAAACACTTTTCTTTTTAAGAATTGCCTAAACAAGAAAATGCGTATCTGCTGGCCTACAGGTTGACTTGGTTTTATTTTTTGACTTGTTAAAATTGTGTTACTGCTGTGTCACACAGCACAATCACTCACAAAAGAGGAAGCCAGATGCTAGATCATGTTATGATGTTAGGCTGTATGTTCACATGGGGATTCCACCATTCATCCCCTTCCCTACAAAAACACACATGTAAGTGGTGTGCAACCTATGCCACCACCCTGCAGTAATTACTATTTCCCATTTTAACCTGGTTGTTTTTTTTTTAACCTGTCCTTAACAAACATATAAAAGTCTACGTTAAGTGGCACCATGGCAAACAGAAGTCTGCTGCTATAGTTTCATACTATGGACCACAATGCCAGCAGGGAGCATGCAAACCATCTTACCATGTAACAAATTGGTGGATCAAAGTAGCACAGATCCCTCTCAATAAATGAGTGTGCACACTGGCTCCTTTCACAGCTGAGTCCCTTCCTTCAAAAGGAATGGGCCACTGCCACAGATGATACTTTCAGGAGTTGCAAAATTACCATGTGCCAAAGTTTGTTAACGCACTGGAGCCCAGGTTTTGTGGTTTTTTTGTTTGTTTCTTTCTTTCTTTTAAATAAGTTTTTAAACACTTATTGCCCTTTACTCTCAGCTCATGTCTATCTTCCTTCTTTTGATTCTTGTGATCAATTAATAACTTAATGATTATTTCCACGTATCAGCATATCAAAACCATGTTTTCAGCCCTCTGTCACTTTCTATCAAGCTCTGAATGTTTCTTTGTGTTTCTCCAACTTCATGACTCTCAAAAACACAACATGCTAATGACCAGGGCTGGGTCAGAGAGTATTAACTCCACACTCCTGTAACTGCCAGAAACCCAACTGCCTAGGTGCAAGGAGAGACCAACAAAATTGTTTTTTTTTTTTTTTTTTTTTTTTGTTTTTTTTGGTCAAGTAAATCAATTAATACCCTAATCAGGTATTTCTAATTTAGCACAGAATGACTTCTAAAAATGGATAGAGAATAACAAAATGCAAAGAACAAGAGTAACACTTCCTTCTCCAAAAGGAAAAAAGTAATAATTTAAACAAAATAACCATATCAAGAAGTCTAGTTAGTTCTGAAAACTGGGGATGAATATTTTTTAAAGTTTCATTTTCTACCCACTAAGAGGGGAGAGTTATTCTCATTGCGAACTGCGATGGGAATCAGAAATAGGCTATAAAAAGAAATGTGGCGTTGCTGCATGAAAAACTTTAACAATTTCAAAAAGGGTATACAGAAATGCACACAATAAGGAGTTGTTCATTAAATATAAGAGACTACATCACTTTCTTGACACCGAGATCCACTAGCTTGGTTTGAGGCTTACCAGTCTGGGCATTTAGAATAAACTAGACAAAACAAGTAAGAAACCGGCAGGAGGGTGCTTTGCACCCGTCTGTTCTTGCCACAGGCAAGCAAAGTTCTGGGAAGGGCTGCAGTCCCTTCAGCAATGCTGTCACTGTTCAGATGCGGCACAGCTTTACAGCTCCATCTCTTTCCCCCAAGTCTGCAGCAGAAGTTGTTCTTTCTAAAATACGGTACATGATACTGCTCAGCCCTTCCATTCACTTACTATATTGCACCTAGAGCTGCAGTCACTTATCCTCAGCTGGACAGGTAAGGCAATCACTTTCAAGAGAATGAAATCCGCGATGAGCAGAAGAGCTGCTTCCCACCACGCTCACGGAACTGCCCGTGTACAAGGGTCAGCTTCACATCTCTGCCTAAGGGCTGAAGGGCCTCAATGTGTATGGCTACCTTTTGTTATGAAAACAAAACCAAAATAAAAACAGAATGGCCAGCCACTTCACACATTATGTTTACCTTAACAATTTAGACTTCGTTTAACTTTCCCTAAAAGTTTACAGAACATTTAAGTCAATGACACAGCGTGTTTAAATGAACAAAGATAAAAACGGTGGTTCCTGTCGATCCAAGGGTGCGCACTGCCATAGTAAAATATGTCCTCAAAGACAGACAGAAACAATTCTGCAAATTGCTTGCACTCAAAAAATATTGTTCCTTGCTTCAAATTAAATAGACCTTTACAGCATCATTAAGGAAACAGGCTCCTATGAAGCTTACTTGAAGTGCAAAACACATGGGAACTTCTTAAAGATGTTTTTCTTAAGTCATGAATTTTCAAAACAGAAGCACAGACTTACAAGCTTTACTTTGGTATTTGTTAATGCGTGTGGGTGGTTTTTTTGGTCTGTTTTTCCTCTCTTTTTAACGCATTACAATTCTGAGTGCCGCCCGCAACCCGTTCTTGCTTGACTACAACACCCAGCTCTGACCTTCCCGGTTTTGCTCGGGGAGGAGTAACCCCAAGCTCCCCCTGTGACTTTTCCTCCCCGGAGGAGCAGCTGCCCATGGTGCCCTCTCCCACCGAGCTGGCACCATTTTGCACTCCGAGCCGCGTACTCCTGCGCGGCCAACTCGCTTCCCACTTTCCCAGTCATACAGGGAACGACCAGCGCTTCTCCAATGCTGCGCACCCTCCTCCCGCACAGCCGCTGACCCGGCGGCAGAGCAGGCCCGGCAGGAGGCGGGGAGGGCCGAGGGGGCGGAGAAGCGCTGCGGGCACAGCGCGGGGCCCCACCGCGAGAGAAGGGCCGAGCTGGAACCCGAGCGCCGCGGAGCAGCCGAAGGAAGCGCCCCGCCAGCCCCGTTACCTGCGCGCTCCTCCCCCGCGGGCAAGCTGCCGGCGTGCAGCCTTCACAACAAAGCCCGAGAGCTGCGGCCGCGGCAGGAGGAGGGCCGAACGCACCACCCCCACAAGCACGCAGCGTGCAAGGGCCGGCGGTGGGGCCGCGGTCTGAGGGCGGGGCACGGCGCGGCACGGCATGGCACGGCTGCGGACTCGGGCCGGGCGTTGCAGGGCAGCCGGCGCCGCCGTGCGGGCGAGAGAGGTAGCGCAAGGCTGAGGTCTGCGGGGCGGTGTGCGGACACAGCTGGCGTCTGGCAGGCTTGTCCTCCCGTGCGCGGGAAGAAGTTGTTTTCTTTTGGAGGGGTTAGCGCTGGAGTGCTGCCCAGACTGGCGAGGAGCGGTATTCCCCGCCTATGGAGAGAGAAGTGCCGCCAAGGCCATGGAGAGCCGCATTGGTTTGGGAAGAGGCCACGTGGAAATGGGATTAAGCCTGGAAGTGCTTTGGGAAACCTACATAATGGGAACGCTGCCTGTTGAGGAAGCATAGGGAGGAAGAAATGCTATATATTTATGTGAGAATTTAACGGTGACGGGGTCAACACATTTGTGTTTTAAATACAAGTAAATTTTTATGTAAATCTTTTTGTTGCAGCGACACCTTGTGCAGACAACAACTCTAACCAAACACCTTCATCTGGCCAACTCCGAATTTTCTTGACTGTTGAACAACTCCAACAAGTCTGGCTTAATACCAGATTTGCTATTTGTAATAAAAAAGCATTGCACAGTGAGACCTACATCCCTGCAATAAGTGAAGTAGTGATGTTTCAGCATCTGCTTTTTGTTGATACCAAACACTGGAGAACTGGTGATCCTGCTGTATTTAATTGAGCAGCAGTCTCAAAGTGCAAAACCAAGGGAAATGATGCTAATGTTAATGAAACACTGAAGTTGAGATTTCAATCACTTAAATGTCAACACATTATAAATTCTTTAATTTTAGGAAGTTATTCTGCATTCCCACAGCAATTCCCACTCTGCTCTTATATATATTTAAGAATTCAAGTTACTGCTTGTTTGCTGATGCTTGCAAATTATCTAACTGAATATTATAGCTCAGTTTTATTGTTTTATTAACTCTTTTGTGTATATTTTGTGTGTTCTTGTGTTTTACAGTAACGATAAAAACTTCCCTTTTCTCTTTGTTCTGAATTGTTGAAGGCTGCATTTCATTTTATCCTTGGAACTTCCGGTCACTTAGCAACGTTTGTTGCTAAACTATCACAACAGACACGCACGCACTCCACAAACCAACTTATCAGAACAACACTTCAAGAGCAGACTTCATGGAAGCATTTTCCAAATATATATTTTATTAAGTTATATTTAAGTTTTGACTTCCAAATTCTAAGGTACCTGCAATTGCTTCTCAAAACAGGAAAACATTTGCAAAGGTTTGGCAAATGATTCTCAGAAAGGCAAATTAAGGGGATGAAAGTACTGCAGTTTCAAAACCTTATGCACAAAACCCATTTGTAGGCTGTTAAAGAATCCTCCCTTCTCAAATTGCACCTCATCACAGAACATTATGGGTTTTTGTGTGTACACAGGTTATTTCCCAGTGAAAGAGGTGGACCACAGATCCCTTTTCTAACAGAAAAAGAACTGAGTACCAACATTTGCTTTCAGTAGCTGTGCTGCAGGAATATATAATATGCATCTTGTTATAAATAATGCTTTTAAGAGATTTTAGACTTAAACTTCTTGACTTGGTAAGATAACAGCAAACTGTGGTGGTGTTGTCTTCTTTTTTATTTGTTTGTTTTTGTTTTCCCTCTAGTGAAGTGAAAAAATAAGGATGCAAAAACTATCTTTCTTTTCCCTTTCTTTTGGAGATGTGCCAGCAAATCTAGCCTAGTTTTATTTCATAAAGTTCAAGGTTATTAATGGAATCACTTTGAAGATAATGTTAAGGATTTCTGACTCAAAAAGAATATTCTTGTCAGCGTTAGCATTGTAGAGCTCTTAGCAAGAAAACAAATTAAACCCAAGTTATCCGAGTGGTTAACAGCAATCTAGAATCTTATTCAAGAGACATCTCCTTTAAAATCTATGTTCTTAACTCTAATAAATGTACCATTGAGATCAACACTATCTCTGTTCTCTCCTCAAAACCAATGGAACCATGCTTGTATGTAAGTATCTTCTCACTGTTAGAAAAGGACCAAGTTTGAGCTGAATGGACAAGCCTTCTGTTGGCTTAAGAAAAAGTAGTAGTATTAGAAGAAAATATGGAGAGGACTGTGAGAAACCACAGTGCTACTCAGAGTTAGGGAAAAGACAGCAACAACAGACATGTTGGCATTTATACCTATGCCCAATGTCTCTGAGAATAAACGCCCTTGGCTGCTCCACATCCATACAGGTGATCTGTCCTCCCCTTCAGCAGTGTAGCCCTGCCAACACAGACTCTGGAGAAGAGCCTCTGGCCAATATCACCCCCTGCACTGTATCCTGGCATCTTCTGAAAAGCGTCGGTTGGCCTTGGCAGGAATAACGCTAGAGACTGTCAGAACCAGGGCTGACTGTCACAGTGCTCAAGGCCAGGGAGCTTTTGCTGAGCCTGTGGGTTTGCATGATGCATGCACCGTCCACCCCAAATCCCCGTGTCCTTTGACCACCAAAGAGCAGCAGCCATAGTCCAAAGGTTTTTATAGCACAGTGCGCTTCAGGAAGATGGTGAGTGAGCCAAATGGCACCACCGACGCCTCCTGAAAGCAGAACAATGAGGAGAACTGGTGGGCGTTCGCTGGGTCTAAGCCCCGGTGGGGATCGGGACTGCAGGAAGCGCGTGCAGTGTGGCACAAACCCCACAGACTAGTGAATGGGCCGAGGCGGTGGAGGTGGCAGCCGCTCCGCCAGCGCGCTGACAGGACACTGCTGCTCTCCCAGCAGCGCAAAGTGCTGCCGGGCTCGCGGGCTCGGAGCCAGAGTTCAGCCGCCAGCCCGAGCCTCGCGCTGCGGCCGTCAGGGGCCGGCGGGCAGAGGGCAGGGCCCGGCTCTGCAAGGGCCGTGCTGCGGCCCCCCCGCAGATAACCGCGGCTCCCCGCCTCCCCCCGGCTCCAGCGGGACGGCTCTGCCCCCCTCCCGCCTCGCGCGGCCCCGGCCCCGGCCTCGGCTCGCATCCACTCTCCGGCAGCCGACCTCCTCGGCGCGGTCACCATGGCTCGGCAGCCCGGCGGCTTTCTGCAAGAGGCCTCTCACCAGATCGCCGCCGGCGGCTCGGCGGGTAAGTGCACGCTCCCTTCGCGCGGGCCCACGGCGGAGAAACTGCCCGTCCCGTCCAGCCGCGCCGCGCTGCTACAACGCACGAGGCGGTGGGGAACGACTCCGTGAGGCGGCAGCTCCTCCCCCGGCGGGAGCGGGAAGGGCGGGTGGCCCCTCGGGCGGAGCGGGGGGTCTCGAGGATCCCGTTACCTTGGGCAGCGTTGCCGGATCGCTGCGGTAACTTCTGGAAGCGTGCTGCCCTCCCGGGGGCGGGCGTCTGCGGCGTATCGCTCTCAGCGCACTCCGCAGCCCTGTAGGCGATAAGGCTACAACCTTATCAACCGTTCAACCGCTCAACCCTCGCGGGACACGGTGGTGTGTAGGAAAGGTCCCTCTCGGTTTGCAGGACAACTGTAGTTACGTTACATTACTTGGACTGGGAACTACAAACGTCAAAGCCGCCCACATCACTCTGTGTAATAGCAAAAGCACTGCTGTGTCATTTCTTTAATCTGCTTCCCCTACCTAACAATAAACTTTAAATATTTATGTTAGGTGTGGGGAGTGTTGATACCAGATCCTGCTGTTTCAGCGTGTTTGTAAATCCTGTTGGCATCTCAGCTATGCATTGTGTTTTTAATTGGTTTTTAGTATCACTTTCAGTCAGCATGCTGTTTGCCATGTTATGTTATAACGGAGAGAGGAAAACTGTGTTTTATGTATCGTTTTTGTGGCGTTGTGCTTCCTTTTTGTGCCCCTGACTTTGCAGTCCTTCATGTTCAGCCCTCGGCTTTGACAAGGAGATGTCACAACAGAAAAGAGCTGTGCTGTACTGGCCTTTTCCATGTGCTGGATTTACACAGCTCTTGTGTGGCTTTGGAAATCCTAAAATGTTTTTAGGCTCTGCTTGGTACCCACCCCCTCTTTCCCCATGGAAGAAGAAGGATTTAATCAGTGCCAGCCTGTTGAAGGCTCTTCAAACCTGGTGAGATACCAAGATGTTTTGGCAGCAGTTGTTCTGCAAGATGACATATTTCTCTGCCTATAGCTGAGGGTCTGTATGTAACTGATTCAGACTGATTGATTTCTGTACTCTGAAGTCAGTCTGCTTTCTTTAAAAAAATTGCTCTTGTTTGCAGAAGGGTAGTTTGGATAACTATCCTAGTTTGGAAAGAAAATTGTCACAGAGTTGAAAGGAGAGTCTTAGAGAAGGACTGCAATTGGAAAACGGAAGTATGTGTGAGGGTGGTGTAGGGAAGAGATGGACTAAAAACTGTGCTTATCCGGCAGGCATAAATTTTAAGACAACTTTCAAGGAGACAACTAATCCGCACCTAACACTTTTTCAAGTATGATAAGGAAAATCTATTGCATTTAATCCAGAGGCATACTGCTAAAGTGCTTGCAACAATTTGTGTGGTTGTCAGGCATGTTCATTAGCTCCATCACTGACTTAGAATCTGTGCAGAGATCTCTACTCATTGGGTTTGAAGTAAACAAGGACTGTTCCTTAAATCCTTAAATAACAGCAGCATCATGACAGAGGAGTTTTCAGGTATTGGAGGGAAATGGATGAAACTTGAATATTAACACTCATAACACATGCTTAGAAACTCAATGGAATTATTGTGATTTATAGAGAAGATAGAAGACGAAGGCCTTGGCTTTGAGGTCTTTAGTCCAATTGTTAAATTTCAGACAAGTGTGGATCCAACAGGGAGGTGATGAAAGCAGGAAGGAAAGGATGGTGGGTGACAGTTGCTGAGAGTGTACTTAGTATTTCATCCATGCAGGGGACTTGGTTTCCTGAATTCAGTTTTCCAGTATCACTTTTTGACAACCCGTATTGCTTTTGGCTGCCTCTGCAGAAGGACCGGGGGTTTTTGTAGGCCCTTTGTCATATTTACTAGTGCGCAAATACCACAGATACCATAGGGTGTCTGTGATACCTGTACCACAGACTGATATTTAGTAGGAAACTGGGGGAAAAAAATCACAATATGAATGAATGCATAGATTTTAAGAAGTTCTGATCATCTTATCTCATACAGTTAAGCAGAAGGAGTGTAGGAAGGAAGCTCTAAGAAAGTTGCCCTAATTTGGTGTCTTTGTCAAAACAGTGGTAGGAAAGTAGCAAGGTAAGTCAGAGAACAAATTGTACACCAGAGTGGGTGTAATGAATGTCTGCATAAGTAAAATGAGAAGTTAGTTAGCATCCGCATGTCTGATGCAAAAGGATCTGAGAAGATGTGATTTTGCTAGGTCAAGTGGAAAATGATTAGAGATAAGTCTAAGCTGTCAGAACAGGAAGAAAGGGATTTTTGGAGCTTTATGGAAGGTGTCAGGGCTTGTTCATGTATTTGATAAAGAGAGAGGAAGGGGGAAAAGAAATCAAGCTTGACACCTAGTCTACTTGTCAAGCTTGACACATCAGTCTACAAGCCTGATAGAATGGAAGATACTGGCATGCTGAAGTAAGGAGAAATGCAAGCATTTGGTGCTGTAAAAGAGAAGATTTTAGCATACTGTTGTGTGTTTGAGGCGTTTCAGAGTTAAAGATAAACTAGTCAGTGCTCTGATACCACTGAACTGTAACACTCAGGCATGACAGGATCTCAGACCTTCTTGATGTCTATGGCAAAGAGTGCATCTGCTTCTGTGGAGCTCAGAGTTTGACTTCATGTTAGGCTGAAAGCTCTGAGGGTGACCTCAGATCTTAAATATGAAGTTTTACTTAGTCTTGATGTATGTTCTTCCTGCTGATTTTCAGTTTGCTCTCATCTTTTGGATTCCTGGATTGATCAACTATAAATAGAGAATAATTTGATTTTGTTTGCTTGCCTAGGTGTATAGAGATGAACAGGAGTTTGACTGAAATACAATTGGGGCACTTCATTATTAAGTTTTGCCCCTTCCAGTGTAGTGAATTGATGGTGTGTTCCTTTTCTCTTGTGGGTAATTAGTACACTAAGGCACGTGTGGAACTTACAGGAAAAAATAAATAGAAAACAAACCCTTTAAACTGTAAAAATCACTGTGAAAGGAAGAGCTTTTGAATTTGTAACTGCAGAATTGCTTTATATTTAGGAAGACAAAATGGTTATTTCAGCAGCCCTGTACATGCAGAGTTAAAGTAATGGGAAGAATAATTTATTTCTCCGTTTCATAAGGATCAGAAAATAATTATTTTTTTCTGCCAGTATAGAAGAGGCAGAAATTAAAGCGATAAATAGTGTTGCATGCAAAGTCAACAGAGATTTCATTCCATAGAAAAAGGAATCAAACACTGCCAATTACATTCTGTGATACCTGAGTAGATTTGCCAAGACATTCAGAGAGAAGGCTCTTGAGTCAATTTGAAAGATTGAGTGAAATGTCATCTTAAACAATTGCACAGAGGACTATTGGCTGAGTGAAGTGGCTGAATTTGGCTGGAGGTTTTGAATTTGGCTACCCTGAATGTTTTAGCATGTTGCTGCTTGGTATAGGTGTGTGTTCATTATTATTATTTTTTTAAATTGTAATAATTTTGCAGATGGAAACAGCTAAAACTGCAGGTAATGTAAATACAAAGTAAATACAACTGAGATTTTATGTTCATTTCTTTTGCTCCCATATACCTTCACATAAACACGATTATCATCTTTAATTTTGAAGTAAAAATGTTGAAAGGTTTATTCACTATATGTAGTAGGTGATAAATACAAAAGATTATGTCTTTTAAATCTGTAATATTTAACTCATCTTTAAATACTTTCCTACTATAATTCAGTGTTTTTAGTTTCTTAATTCTGTTTAATAAATCATCGTGAACTATTGGCTTTCTATTATTGCCTAATGAATATGGGAAAGTCAGAATGAGCTGTTTCTGGTTTTTTGTTTTTGTTTTTTGTTTGTTTGTGTTTTGTTTTTTTGTTTTTTTTTTGTTTTTTTTTTTAATAAAGGTATCTACTTTCTATGTAAGAATAACTGTAGCTGGTCTTTTTTTTTTTCCCTCTCATTCTCCATATCTTCATGAAACAGCAGGATTTCTGCCTGTCTAGACTTCTGGGCTTTGATTTTTTTTGAAAGAGTTAGGTTTCCAGCAGCATTGAAATCTAATAGGATTTGGGAGTCTAATTCTCTTAAGCTCCTTTGAAAGTCCAAACCTTGTCTTTTGAGAGGTGTTTTATTTCAAGAGTAAGCAGAGTTGATTATCCTGGATTGCAGCAACTCCTTTGAAGCAGATCTATAACAGGAAAACCAATCATCAGAGTGAGAGTGTTGGATGCAATATTAAAAGCAGTTTTTGGTCCTCCTATCACTGGAGGCATTAAGCTGGCAAAAATCACTGCAAGGCATGCCAGCCATCATAGTCTGAAACACCTGAGGTTGTTTGGTTGTTTGGCCTATACAAAGGGGAGAAGGAGCATAATGGAAGAATAGGAAGCACTTTCAAGTAGCAAGAGAATTGGCTAATTCTCCACTTCCCTCCTTCTGTCGTCCCCCCCACCCCCAGGTGTTGCCTTGATTATTTTGCTGACTCTCTTGTTTTTTGGGGTTTTTTTTCAATTTTTTTTTCCTGGAAACTAAAATTTAGGATGACCACTTCATGTTTTCCTCTTTGCTTTTTTCTTGCTTTTAAGTCATACTCTTGGCATTCACGTATTACTAAAACAATCACTTAATGCTCAGAGGTAGTTTCAACTAGCTAAGTATAAAGCTAAAGCTGCTAAATATCTTGACAGGAAACCATATGGTTTTAAAGTGCTCAAACTTTATTGTTTCTGAAGTCTTTTAAGGTTGAAATTTTATCTGAGTATGTTTTAATTGTTTTTCACTGCTTCTACTAAACTGGCATTTTGGACATTAACAGAAACTGTTTATATTAACAAATGAAGAGTAGGAAGCAGTTAAATAGAACCAATTTCAGGAAAAAAAAGTCTTGCAAGCTAAAGTATTCCAAGGGAATGAACTTGTTCTTAGCATAAAGCTGATTTTCTCTGCTGGGCTGAGAATTGGTGGTTTTGTATGAGATGCTGG